CCCCGCCATAGTAGTCAATCTAAATTTTATTTCTAATAAATGTACTCGGATTGAATCAATTATGTAGAACATGAGCAGAGAAAAAAAAGGAGAATTTTTTAAATTAGCTCGAATCTTTATTGCCTACATTGTAGAGAATGACTTTGCCTCCACACCTAAACAGAATGTCTACACTCAGGTTTAATGTGGGAATCAGCTGATAAATGTGATTGCTCAGCGTGGGGAAAAGAATCATAACTCAGCTCTAGTAGAGAGATGTAAATCCAGTTGATTTTCTGTGATCAGCCGACTTGCTGCTGCTCTGAGGTTTACTGCTCTTTGTGGAGTCATACAACTGAATTCATTAATATATAAGCAGATGTTTCATGAGTTGTCCTGGCTGATCTCCATCACCTGCACTGATAGTATCTGTCTTTGTACTACACACAGTATAAAGTGGAATTCAGTGAATAAATCTAAGAATCATTAGCTTAAATTCAAATTAATCTCTTCTACTCTTAATGTAATCTAACTCTGAACATGAACATGACAGCCACTGTGCACCAAAGCATTGCTCTTTATGATAAATTCCTCACAGTAAAGCAAGCAAAGCTGTAGAGTTTTTTAATGCAACCTTTAAATAGCACAAAGTTAGTATACCTCAGTGTGAGGTCAATTTGAAAAATCATAATTTCACAAAATACAGATGAAATATCGGATTTAAAAATGCCACTGAGCAGTTCTTACTTCTTAATATAACCTTTCTTCTTCCTCTTGTGTCCAATCTTTTTACACCTTTCTCCGTCTCTCAGTGAAGTTAGCTCTTGTTAGCTCTTCTCTCCCTTGGCAATACAACAGCTATATCTTTAGCTAGCAGACACAAAAAAGTGGTAAAAGTGGTAAAAAGTGGATGGATAAATGGATGGATTTACCACTGAGATCGTAGGTAATACAAGGTACAGAATTTAACCATTAACAGTACTGTGTTTTTAGACAACCACGCCAAGTTTGACCCTCGTGGGAGCAGCACATACAGACAAAACGGCAGACCTCTCAGTATCACATATGGCACTGGCAGCATGACTGGC